AACATGGCACCAGACCCCGCTGTTTAACTCAGAACTGCTCTCGTTGTTTATTGCTTGGCTGCTCCTGGTGCCTTCCAGGGGCAGGGAAATCTCCCCCATCGTTAGGCAGCCCTGGAGATTTGCCCTCTGAGTGTGGATCTGAGCCGTGCCTTTCTCCCAGCTGCTCCTGGAGCCAGAGCCTGCAAAGGGCCTGCTGGAAGCAGCTGTTTAGAAATCTTCAAAAGCTTTAAAACCAAACTCGCCCCAGAGAGCTCGTCCCCAGTTTGCTGTGGGTGCTTGTGCTGGTCCATCCTCCCTGGAAAAGGACTGAGCCCCCCAGCCTCTCATCTACAGCCTGGGACACGAGACTCGCTTGGCCAAGCCTCCCTTCAGACAAATTGCTCCAGGGAAGAGACCATGAACAGTTAAACAAAATAATCATTAGTGAAAGCATCTGTCTCATCATCCTGGAAAAGTATTTAAAACAGAAGTCTTGAGGGAGATTCTTCTGGTATACGAGAGCTGTGTACTCCCAGACATCTTCACTTCTGAGCTGCAGCAGTAGGTACACAGTAAATTTATCTGTATTCTGGGGGTTAATACAGCAGAATAACTGTGACTTTGAACCTCCCCACAAGCCTGAAGACGTGTATGAGAAGAGGGTCTGACTGATATCTCAATAAAGACAGGTAAAACAAGACTTCAAATTCGAGATCAGAATTGAAAACACAATTGGAGCTAATCTGTTTTCATTCTGTTCTGAACAGGAATTCCAAAACTTTGACATTTTTTCATCAAAGAAGTGCTGGTACAGAAAAGAAAAAAAAAAAAAAAGTGAGATTAATTGAAATTCCTTGCCTCAGTTATCATTTATTTATTTGATATTGAAACAATCAGTTAAGAGCTCCACAAGGTTGATATTAGATAGCTGCCTGACTGTATTCCTAAATCTGAGTCAAGTTACAATAATTTCTAATCAATAATGCCACAATATTGTAGCAGGACTGTAATAAAGACTCAGTCAAGAATTTGGCCAAGAGCTTTTCATTGCAGTAAATTCTTTAAAGCTTTCTGGCTACCTAAAGACACCTTTTAAAATGTAGCTCTTTCATTTTGGCATTCTACCAAAAACTCAGATAGATTCCTCTTGGAGATGCCTCTGTCAGAAGGTAAATTCAGTTTATTTTATAATAAGGAACGTTTAGACAAGCTTTGTATTATTTTTTTTAGGTATGGAATGACGGTTTAGGGAAGACTTTCTTTAAAGGTTTTCCAGGGAAGGACATGACTTGTAGTGAGCATTGTCAGTATAACTCTAACACACTTCAGAAATGCATATGTTAATTTTATAACTTCATTTTGCATTGGTTTTATGCAGCTGCTGTGAAACCTCTTCTCAACAGCATCAATATAACAAATGTTTTTAGGCACCCCTTTTCAAACTTGAATTTGGACTCATAAAAGTAAAAAGGAGCTTTTCTAATACTGATGTCATTGGATTATTTTTATTAGAAAATTGGCAGGATTGGTTGGCTTTAAAATACACCAAAGCAGTTACAAGAAAGATTTCCACCAAGTCTTTGTTCATCACGCTACAGAAGGAGGATCTATTTCAGATCCTTCCTTCGGTGCCATTTTGTCTTCTTGATTAAATCTCTCACTAGACAAATACTTGTGCTTTTTTTACTGCATCATCAGAATTCTCACCCTCCTTAGTCAGCATGCTTCAGTGTCTGGTGTTTGTTTTTGTTGGTTGTTGTTTGGGGTTTTTTTAGAGTTTTTGTTTCTGTTTCATCTTGGGTGGTTTTTGTTACTCTGCTGTCTTCCTGCTTCCCTTTGGTGCATTTTTATTTTCCAGGGCTCCCGTTGTGTTCAGAGCGTTCACTTTCCCCATATAACATGTTGCAGTGAATAACCTGAAGGGATAGGCCTCGGAGATGGTTTTCCTTTCCTCGTGTTAATTTGAAGTTCCTCTGGGAAAGGAATGGCTTGTGTTGGTTTTAGTTCTGGTTTTCTCCTGGGTGTGGGTGACCCACTGTAAGAGAGAGTGAAAGTCAGGGGATGAGACTGAACACCCTGATTCTCTGTCCTTCACTGGGATTTGGACTGTCCCACTCTTTATTGAATTCAATGTGTTAATAACAGACTTATGTAGCAGCTAAGAAGGAGCTGGCTGTCATTTATCAATTAATTACCCATGAAAAGTGGCATTACATGGTAGCAGTAATCATACCCATGGTGTTAGGCATATGCTACATAAAAATGCAGTCACCTTGAAATAATATGGACAAATCAGCTGGTAACCTACAGAATACTATTAATAATGCAGTCCTAAGCCCTGCAGGACTGCAGTTTAGTCTCTTAGTGGTCTGTGGATAGATTCTGCATTGGTTTTTTTTGTTCAGGTTTTGGGTGAACAAACTGGTTGAGCTATCTTTAAATCCAAAGCCAATCTTACCAGATCTTACATGAATTAATTTAACATTTTTTGAGGAAGGCAGGGGGTGTGATGGCTTGTGGCAGGCAAGTGGTGGCAAACCAAGTTTTAAGCAAAGATGCATTGGTAGAACTTGGATTGACTTCAGTACTAATTTCTACAGCAGTAGAGTGAAGGGCCTGATCTGACACTGTTCTCACTGCTGTTCTCTTTTAAAGCAGGCCAGTGCAAGGCCAGCTGCAGTCATCATGCTGCTAGAGAAGGGTCTCCACAGCTGCCAGGCTGCAAGTGGCACTATGTGCTTCCAGTCACTGTCTTGCATTGGGCACCGGTACTGCACGAGCTCAGGGAGGGAACAGCACAAACCAGGGGTCTGTTCCTGGCTGGTGACACTTGCCTGGGTGTGCTCCTGGCTCTGGAATGAAAGAGAAAACTGGGAAAGAGAGCAGCTGTGGTAGACAAGGACAGAGACCCAGAGCTGTATGAAATGGTGCTGTGCCTGTGCTCTGCTCTTACAGCACTGTGCAGTGACAGTATTCTTGATTCCCCACACTGCTCCAGTGTCATTTAACCTTCTGGCAGTTCTGGGAGACCCCAGCTGTTGGCTCTTTTTGGCAAAGTCATCGACTTGGCGAACTTTCCCTGTTGCTCAGACTGGAGCAGACACTGAGGCTGTCCAGGCTGTGCTGCTGGAGTGTCAGACAGGGAGTGCAAACGCTGGCACATCACTGCTTGTGTTGAGCTTGTCAACACCTATTGTCCTTTCTGTTCCTGCAGAGGAAGATGCAGTCACTTGCCAGAAAGTTTGCAGTCCACATTTCTAGGGGAGGTGCAACATCAGAGCAGCAAATCAGAGCACAAAGAGTCTGAAGTAGCAGCAGCAGAATGGTGACCTAATACCTGTCCAAATCAAAAGCCATATGCTCATTGACTGCAGTTGTCTTTGGAGTCTAGAAAGATGATGGAAGAAAAAAAACTGATGACATTTCAGATTTTATATATCAATTTATCTAATCTTTCAGTAGACTTTGAGCAGAAAATACAGGGATTTGCTTGGGAAGGTGTTGTCTTTTGTTTCTGTGCAGTTGTTCATCACGTGTCTGACATGCCAAGGTAAAAGGTTTTCATTATCCCCTTTACACACCCCTCCAGTAAAAAACCACAGGAAACAGTAGAAGCTATAACATATCTGTAGTTCAAAATATTCCTTTCTCTGGCTTTAACCTGTGGCTTAATAAATGAAAAACAGTATGCACCACATTGAAAAAATTATGCACAGGCATTCATTTCAGAGTCAGAGCTATTTGGATGCAACTATAAATGCACCAGTTGTGCCAACAACTAAATAATACTTTTATTCTAGCTTTATTGTTGGAGCATTTTTACACTTCAGGTATATTGTGTGCTTCTGATCATACGTTGTGCACCATGTACTCTTTGTAATTATATCAATATGAATAGTTGCTAAGGCTGAAATAGGTAACTGCCACCAGAAATCTGGGAAAGTGAATTTATTAATACAATTTGTTATGTAAGAGAGCACTGTCAAGGTTCCCATTTTATGTCAAGATATGCTAAAATGATACCCTTTGGAAAAAAAAAAATCATATTCTTTCAGCTGCATTGACAAAGATTCCCTTCAGTTTTATTCTGAATTCATATGTGTCTCATGTCAAAATCTGGGCTGTAAATGCTGCTGCCTCTGTGCAGCAGAACAGAGGTTAGTAGCCTCTGGAAGCACATTAGCATGAGGAGAAGTGAGGTCAGAGCATGGGTGACGATTATGCTGTCTGGAATGTGAAATCAGACACTGTCACCCTTCTTTGAATAAGCTGTAGCAGGTGAGTTCTCAGATGGGATCCATGTTACACAGATAAAAGAAACATCTCTTGTGAGACCCATTCCCAAACCAGGCATTCTGATGGTCATTTCATGCCAGGGCCCAGCAGGGGGTCACTGCCAGTGTGTTCTGGGCACCCAGGGCTGCTGTAATGGGCTCATCCTTCCTGGGGATGAGGCATCTGCTCCTAATCCTTCCCAGCTGATTCCAAGCAGGGACATCAACCCCGAGATGTCAACAGGGTGACTGCCTTAATTTTCCTGTTGCATCTCCATCTCTGTAAAAGCTTTCAGCTGCTCTGGGGCTGCTTTTTTGCTCCAGATACTGCTTTGGGAATACAGGTTTTGAGTCTCTGCTGACTGTGAACGTGGTTTATCTGTTTTTCAGACAGCTGGACGAAAAGCACAAGCTCCTCTAAAGACAAATGGTGTGTCAGTGGCCAATTGCAGGAAAGATAAAGGATTCCAAAGGCTGTGAATATTGCAGTCAACTATCCAGGGCTTATTTAATATCCTTTTATTCCAGCTTCTTTCATCACTTTAGTCTTTGCTAGTCAGAATATAGGTTGTTGGGTTGAATACATTCACAGAAGTATGATACAATAACTTCTGCCTTATTCCAATAGAGAGTGGATTACCTGGATGTCTTGCTTGCCCTTCTATTCTTCTTCTGTTTCTATAAAACAAGACTGCCATCAGTCTTTTCCATTTCCTGCTTTGATCATCATCCTCTTGTCTCCTTTAGGCTGCTGTGAACAGGAACTGAAGATAAAGTGTGTGTTTATAGGTAGCATTTTAAAACAGCTGCAATTTCAGTGCTGGACCAACCCTCTGATTAGGCAAGTGGAAAAGCTATGATGTATACTCTATAATAAATGTCAGAGCAAAGAAGAGCAAAGAACTGAAAAACACCCTATTAGAGGCTAGCAAGAGCCAGAAAATAAAAGAAGAACCTGTGTCAAAAAGCAAAAAAATTCAAGAGCAAAACAGAAGTTCAAGGGTGACAAAGAAAAGGATCACAGCCCTTTTGGTGAGTAAATACTTTTAGACAGGTATTGATCTAGTGGGTGAAAACCAGTGAATGCTCTCTGTTGAGAAACAGCACTTACTGGGGGTGCTGCATCCAGAACAAGGTTACACATAGTAAAGAGAAACAAGGCATTTTTCCATGGCTGGAAATAATACTGAGGTGGTTTTTGCCTTTATTTTTAATTTCCAGTGCCCGAGTATAAGCATCAGCAGACTGAAATACGGAAAGATTCTCTTGATGATTCAGAAGAGAAGTCACAGTCTCACTGAAGTCAGCAAAAAACTTTTGCCATTGATTTAATTGTGGCCAGGGCTTCACTGTGGGCTTTACTGTTATGAACAGCAATCTGCTGCTGAGGGCACAACAAAACATGGCACCAGAGAAATATGGTGCAAAAGTCCCTGTATTCTGCTCTCTTCACTTTCCCTCTGGTTGAAAATGGTATTTATTGTGGCCCAGTGCTGGGCTTGGAGTACAGGGTGCCTGTTGTTTTCCACCAACTGGATGGGTTGGCATGGATTTCTTTACTGTTAGGGTCATTTGGCTAATGGAATAAATTGAATTATGCATAAACATAAATGGGTGAGTTGATCTTGTTTCCTACGAGGAAACAACACACTCAATCTTGTCATTCCCCACCCCCCAACTGTTCAATTATTCCTTACCTGTTGAGAGAAAATTGATTAAGTAGTGAGCATTAAATTTAGCAGTGGTGCTACAAGAAGGAGTGCGTGGATGTGGAACAGCACTGGCTCTGTGATAAGGTAATAAAACAGAGGGGGTGAGCAACAGAGAGGAATGGCAGGAAAGAGGTGGTGCCAGACAGCAAACCTTACTCTGCTCCTGTGAACTGGTGCAGGACTGGAATAATCTCACAGACCTCAATCAAAATATGCTAATTTTGTATTGGCATAAATTGAGGCAAACACTGATTTGGGCATATCCTGCATGCTCTGCCACTCCCTGTTCCGGCAGAACTCCTGCTTGTGGACTGACTCATAACTGCACTGGAAGGGTTGTGACAATCTTTCAGTATTTCAGAAAAATATTCAATGTAATCATATTTTAGGGAAGGGTTGAGGAGTGGGCAGAAAGGAATTGTTTGTTTTTACCAGGGCAACCAAAAGTGCTTTTCTGTGTGTATGTTTAATGAGTGAATCAGACTGCTTTAGCACACTATTGCTTAGATCAATAATTATTCAAGAAACAATACTGCCTTGGGAAAACCTGTGGTAATAACAAGGAAATCTGGATGGGCTGGATAACCTTTTCAGGCAGATATTTATCTTCAAGTGAAGCTATTTTTTTGTACAGTTTCTTGTCTTTTGAAAACGCATTATTGGGTGGTTAAAAAATAATCAGATTGTTAGTGTTTGGAGTCTGGAGCCCAGGGTGGCAGTGAAACGAAGCATTAATGGATGGTATTCGCAGATGCATAGCCAGCAAGATTGTTGGGTTTTAATGTCAGAGTAGCAATATGAGATTAATCTACACGTCTGTACTCTAGTGACAACTGTTACCATTACCAGTGTGAACAGATAGCAGGTTCTAATTAAAGTTACAAGCCAGGGGGAAGAAGCATTAAGAAAGAAAAGAATAATTTCATGAATAAATTGCACTTGATTTACTAGTTCACAGAAAAGGTCTAAAAATTAGTATTTGAAATCACTTTAAACACAGAATCTATCAAACCACGGAACAATAATCGAGTTGACCTAATTAGAACTTGTAACTATAAGCAGCCTGTAACATGTTCTTATCTTGACATGGGGGGACCAAGTAATCTCCTAAGTGCTGGCTCATCTGCATCAAACTTTTTCTGAGACCTGGAAGGAACTCCCCTGCAGCAGCCACCTGCTTACTTTAGATGTCAGACTATTCCGAATTTAGCTTCTTGTGCTTTCTGCATCTGCATGAAGAGCAGCTTCTGTGTGCTGCCCATGAACTGGACCATGAAAGGTCCTCAGCAAATTGCACAGCCCTTTGTGGGAGCAGTTTTGTCTGTAGCTGCTAGTTAGCCTTTATGTGTGGCTGCCACTTGTATTGATACTTCTGCTTGCTTTTAGTACTCATTCAGGACTGTAATCTTTTAAATACAGGACAAAAATTGTTTCTGCAGATATTTTTAAAACTTGTAAGACTGGCTGTGGAGCAGATCCCTTCAGTGATGCTGAGGAGTGCAGCACTCGTGATCCACATTTAAGCACCAAGTGCAGGGAAAACGTTGCCAAAAGAGATGTAACTGCTTGGGGCAAGGAAATTGTGCCTCTCTGACATACTAAAATTAAGTCAATCGTGCAGCTGTTGAGACGGGAGGGAATGGTTGATGTAATTTATTTGGATTTAAAAATTAAAAAGTCCTTATGAAAATATCCCCACTAAGAAGCCATTAAGGCAAACGAGTTTTAAAGAAGTGAGAGCTGAAGTAGTTGTGCATTAGAAACTAAGAGGTAGAGCAGGATTAAATGTCCAAGTTTTGGAGCAAGGCAAAAGGCTAATGGTGTAGTGCCCCAACTCTCCACTCAGCTGGTGCAATCTGAAAATGGGGATGAGGGTGCCATCAGAGAGGTGGCACTGTTTGCTGTTCACAGAGAATTACCTCAGTTAATCAGAACTAGGGAAGATTGTGACTGACCTGGGTTAACAAAGGGAATAAATGGGCAGTGTGATGCAGATGAAGTGCAATGCTGACAAATGCAAGGTTGGGCACACGTTCAAGGGAATAATTGGAAGTATTTGTAGGCTTTGCAGGGCTTTAAATTAACCATAACTATTTAGGTCACTGTTTACTCTGATCAGCCTAGTGGAATAGTGTGTTGTGAAGGGATCCTGTGAAAACAAAACATGATGTGAGACCATGGGGGCCAGCAGGAGCACAGAATAGAAAGTACAACTCCCATCCATAAATCAACATGGGCAATTCACCCATAATTTTGTTCTTGCCCTATCTCTTAAACCATACTGATGAAAAGTAATTCTGGAGACTGGCAACTAAATGATTAGAGAGATGGAGGAGGTTGAAAACAAGGGTTTGTTTAGAAAGAAAAGTAATAAGATTCAAATGGGAAGTATTTTAAACAATGAGTGGTGTGAAGAATACAAGCTAAGAAGCTTCTATTTATATTGCTAATGCAAAAAAAAAAAAAAAGGCAGCAAAGAGGTATATTTAAAGAGAATTAAAATGAATTATTTTCATGAAAACCTCATTAACCTTTGGGAATTACTCTGTTAAGCAATCATGGAGGCCGAATGTTCAAAAGCATTATGTTATTTTAAAACAATTCTTATGCTGCAAGAGGGCTGGAACAGTTATTCCAGATAGCTGTTCAATGCTATCTGCAGAGATCCTGCTGCTCCATTAGAAAAGCCCATACAGGTACTAACCTGCTGCCTTCTCTTTGGGAATCAGAGCTTTTAACAACGAGCAGTGTTGTTTTGGGGCTCAGTGATGGTTTTGTGCTGTCTAAACGTTGAACTCTTTGGCAGTGCAGAGCCCACACTGTGCCAGGGCTCCCACTCCAAAGTACAAAAGGGGGTGCACACCCAGGGAAGAAATGGCTCAGGTCACAGGCTGTGCTGTAGAAGAATTTTCTTTATGAAACTCCCTATGGTGAGTGCAATTTTTGCCCCTGGGATCCTGAGGGATGACTGCAGCACGGTGCATTGCATGGCATGGTCCTTTAAAGCCTCCTTGCTGCTGAGTTCGAGTTAGGAAAGCTCGTGTGCTCTGCAGGAGCATCTCCAAGCACTCAGGCTGCACCGTGGTGGGAGCTGTTCCCAGGCCAGGAGCTTTGATGGGGAGCGGCTGAGATTAATGATGACATAATACACTGAGAGGAGATATTAATGCTCTTAGGCATGAATTAATGAAATACCAGTGAGAATTTATCCTGCATGAATAAAGGGATTTGGAAGTTGTTTGTTCTAAAAACCGCAGGAAGATCTTCCTGGACAAGCCCCAAAGGCTGTGTTGTGATAGTCAGGGTCCCAGTGACCCCTTCCTGCAGCCCTTTGGCAGAGCCAGATGGTTGAGCTGGAGCCATCAACGCAATTCCTACTAATGTACCAAGTGTTTGTATAAATGAGACACGTGGATATGTCGTTTCCAGGGCTGTGACAGTGATAATTTTTATCTCCCCCTCAGTGCAAAGCTGGATTCCAAGCTGTGGTGTCATTGTGGAGCAGAGCCTCAGCATGCCAGTGGCATCCACAAATCCGGGTCCTGAGCTCACAGTGGTCACACAGCCAGAGCCTGCCTTGCTGCCGTGGTAGCCGTGCTCTTCATCAGCGTGGAGGGGGATGGTTGATTGATATTTAACAAAAATATCGAGGTAAGCTTTACTGTGACCTCCCTGGTGTGTCTTTGCAGGGTTACTGAGGTGGAACTGAAAAATTAACTGTATCCCATCATTTTTCATTCCTCACTGTCCCCTAGAATGAATGAATTTAAAATGTTGTATAGATGTATGTATATATAATCATCTTCCTGTAGCTTCTCTTGATTTAAAAAGTAATTTTATTCAGGGATAAAACTTTACACTATGATATGTTGCCATATAATCAAGTCTAGAAGTTTTGTTTTGAGGCAAAGTGGGATAACAACAGTTGCTCTCTTAACGTCTGTTCTGAGCAGTTAAAAAAAACTTTCCTTAAAAATTAGGACATGAAATATGACACATATGTTATCCATAACTTATGGCAATTTGAAATACCCTTTATTGCCTACATAAGTGAATATATGTAAACTTTATTTAGTAATTTCATTTCAAATTTAAAAGAAGCAAAGGTGTATTGTAGAATTCACAGATAAAGGTTAATTTAAACTATAAAGTTATTACCAGTGTTGCATTTCTTCATGTTATGGTTCACTTATGTAGAATTGAGATGTATTTTATATTAAACAATGCATAGCACCATTATACAACAGTTCACTAAATGCACATCCCGTTCAATCTTTTGTAGGAATTAAATATAACTGGACTGAAGTTACAAGGAAGAATTGAAGTGAGCCAGTAGGGTTAACACTGATAGTAACAGGAGACAGATAAGTAGCCATAAGAAAATTACAGCTCTTCTGAAAGACAGTGCCTAAAATAGCAGCATATCCTTGGCACCATCATAGGAACTGGTTAACTGCTGACCCTGAAGGAACACTTGTTTCCATTATTCCTGCTGTCATTATTTCGCTATTCTTGAACTCTTCCTCTGAATTCTTCTGTCCTTCTGATCCCAAGATGGCAGGAATGTGAGAACATAAAGAAATTACAATAAGCTGTCAGCTATATAATTATACTGTAACCTACTACACCGAGAAGTTACACCAACAGAAGTTTGGCAGTGTATTGGCTGCTAGCTAAACACAGGACTCTCACAGCTCAACATTAAAGAAAAAAAAAAACCAGGCTCACTAAAAAGCAACATCTGCATTACAAAGAAGCTAACAAAAGAATTCCCTCATGGTACTTAGGTTCAGCTGCTTCATCTTAGGTTCATCAGCTACATTTTCTTGCTTTGTGAATACTTATTACATTTGCAATTTATATATATTTATTTAAGATCACAACACTACAAACCTTTCTCCAGTCTGTAGTTTTGCCACCTTTAGTTAGACACAAAGGAGTGCTTGCTTGAACTAGGGCTGAAGATTCCGAAGAAAGTTGGTGATGTTATTAGGTCATGTGTACTGTAATTACTTGAGCACCACAATTTTTAAATCCTTTCCTAGGTAGAAGGCAGCAAGTATGCTTTTAAGTTGTCAGACAGACTAAGGGAATCATTTTTGCTCCAAGGAGTCTGCTGTGTAGCCTGAATCAGAACAGAGTCCTGTTTCGTAGAGACTGCAGATTGTCAAGCATCTCTACTAAACAGAAGCAAACCATTACTGATTAAATTTTAAATGCAGTAACTTTAAAGTGTTGAGGAACTTACTTACTGGCAAGAGTTACCAGTAAGGCTGATGGTGAAGATGCCTTTTTCAAGAACCATCACTACAGTGTCACAGTCCTGATTACAGGTGATATATTGAGATTACCTTAACCCCATGGGTCCACCTCAACCTGGACTTTTTATTTTTTTTACAGAGCCTGAACTTTCTCCAGAGCAGGAAGCCTTGCCGAAAACATTCTTCTGGAATCGATACTTCTTCAAAATGCACGGACTGACTGACTTCCCAAATGGACTTTATATATTCCAGTGCATTAGAAGGTAACAATACAGCTTTCAAGTGAATTTTTACTGTTACCACACAGAGAGGCACAGTGGTCACACGTGGCCTTGGCCTCTGTGATGGTGGGGTGTTGATTAATTTGAGAAGAACACAACTTTGGAAGTGGTGACAGATGGAGTTCTTGGTGTTGTCTTTGAGAGGCCCTCGATGGGAGGGACGAAAGAGGCTTGGGAATCAACACAACAAAGGCTTCCAATTTTGCCACTGATTTGTAGGTAACATCTTGGGCATCAGCTGCCTTCTGCAGTTGGCCAGTCTGGTAAAAACAGGGACACTCATCCTTATTTATCTAAGGCAAACCAGCGCTGTGATGGGTGGATTATTTAGATAGCACTGGCAGTGCTAGCCAAATGCTGCTTATTCATGTTTTCCCCACTGCAACAATGTATCTTCATCACTAATAATTAACTGCTAATTAATATGATAGCGGCATTTACCACCTTATTTTCAATTTCAGTACAGATGCCTTTTTAAAAGCTATGTAAATATATGAAATTACAGTACATTTTCCTAATGACCCTGCCATGTCTGAGTTTGATCCTATTCAATGGTGACTAAAGAATAGTGAAGATGACTTCTCTTCTGTAGAGCCATAGACAGTTTCTGTTGAGTTCTTGACACTTAAATCATGAAACCTAAAGAAGCCATTGTAGGCAGGATACATCTGGGCTGAAGGACTGCTGATGCCAATTATGCTTCATACATAATAATGCACATTTTACCTATTTGGAAAAAAAATTCACATTTATTTACTGTCAAACAGGTGTTAAACTTTACACTGGATATTAGTGATGGGCTCATTATTAACAGGTTTACACAAAGGGATGAAAAAAAGCAGAATTTTGCTGAAACAATTTACATTTCATTAGATTTTTATCATAAAATAAATTAATTACTAAATATAGGCAGAAGGAATATGGAAGAGTAATAGTTATGTTTTATTTATTTTTTTTAAAGGACAGGCACCTTTTATTCATGAGAAAGCTTGTGAGAAGTGTCCAGTGTCCCCCTTACCCCCCAACCCTGATTGATTAAAGAATGAACAGGGAACTGAGTTACAATCTTTGTTAGCTATACCAAATTTGTGCAAGGCTTGGCATAATTGGCTTCTAAAACAATTTCCTCCCCGAATTACGGTTTTTTTTGGCAATAAAAATTCAAAACTTAAGAATAAAAACTAACTTGTCAAAGCAGAACACTGTTTACAGTGAAAAATAAGTGAAAACGGGTAGAACTTGCATTTTAAACATACTACTGTACTATGAACAGTGTAAGAAAAACAGCTTATAACGTCTGTGCAACCAAGAGCTTCTCACAATATTTTCTTCAAACTCTTTAAAATTATCTTTTAATGACAATTATATTTCAGCTGGACACAAATGTATTTATTTTACCCTAGCAATAGAACAAAATATAATTTCTTTAGCCATTTTTTTCATGAGAACGGTTCATTGTACAGTTGAGGAAATATATGAAATAAGGCCTGTGGCTTGATTGCTAGTGGTTAGACATGTATTCAATCTTTGCCCTAATGGAAAAGATCTGCAGTGAACTGCAAACTGATGCAGAATATCTCTCCTGCTTTTGCAAGTCTTGTCAGGAATAGTAAGGTACAGTAAATTTGTCCCACAGGATTTTAAAGCCTACGCCTTGTATATAATACAATGTAGGCCTAGGAAAAAAAAAAACTGGTGCAGCCATATTTACAAATTTAGTTCACAAACTGCTGCAGTAAAATGGCTGGAAAATGTTTATTTCTCTCTTTTTTTTTTTTTTTTTTTTTCACAATTTTGTTAAATTCAGCAGCAGAAGATATCTTAAATACCTTGTTGGTATTTCTTTTCTTTGTAACAAATAATTCATCTTAGTATACTCTGTGTATATACAAAGTTTTTGTTTTATAAAAATTCACAGAACTGTGAGGTCCAGTCATCTCCGTTACTGGAGAACCACAGGGTCAACAGAATTGTCTCTTCAAGCAGATATGAGGGAGCCTGCACGGGGCAAAGTAAGTCCTTTTTAATACTTGAACGTGGCCTTTAATATTTCTTTGCTACACTATTAAAGGCTTGTCACTAGTTGCATTTGTCCTTCTCTAACATCTCCTTCTGGAATACATCCTTCCTTGTTGATGGGGATGATATAGCCGTCGCTGTTACCCCTGCTGATCTGATAGTACATCTGGAGCTGGTGGCCAGCTCCCAGGTTTGGCATGCTCTTGTAGTAAATGTCCTCGTTTTCACTCCTCCTGGAGGGAGAGAGGTCCTCCTCGCCGTCGGGGCTGCTCTCTGGGTAGGGAGAGTCTCTGAGGTTGGGCATGCTCGTGTAGAGGGAGTCTCTGTTGGGGGACTGCAGGTGCTCGTCGGCCTCGGCCGTCAGCTGGGACACGTAGCTGTCCGTTCCCTCGGGCTTCACTTTCTTCTGGGGCTGGTACAGAAGGGAGTGAGTCCGCTGGGGGATGAGGGGGGCCTCGAGCTCTTTGTGGTGCAGCTCCAGCCCGGGGGTGTCGCTGTGCATCAAAGAGGAGGCGTCGGCCACGATGGCGTCGTCCTCGCTGCTGCTCCCGCCCATCGCCTTGGCCGGCAGCGCCCGCTCCAGGTTGTGGTTCTTGCTGCTGCCCCGCAGGTTGTTGTGCACTAACTCTGAAATGATCATTTTCTCAAAAGCAGTATCATTCAGGCTTAGTCCACAGTCCACGACTTGCACGCTGTCGTTGTAGTCTCCGTTGCGCAACGAGTAGCTGTTGTTGAAATTACCATTTAGCGGTAGAGTATCCATGGCACTTGTATCCCTGGCATTGTTCAGTGAATGTCCTGCAACGGAAAAGGACAGCTCTGGTTACTGCCTGACACGCTTTCATCAGTTATTTGTTTTTTTCTCTTTTCAACACAGTTCTTTAATGTAGTTCAGGACAAAGTTGTACTTGGAAGTAAAACTTGAGGAAAGTTAGGTTATTGAACATTCCCAAATGTAAACTGCTGCACACCTTATAGGAAAGATGCATTCTAAAAATACTAATGTGTGTTTCCTG